GGAAATCCATATTGCCCAAAAATGCATCCCTGTGCTAACTTGGAGAAATAAAGAGTTAAGAGTGAAATAACTTTTTCTACATGATTAGAGTAGTTCTATAAACTACTGGTATGAGTTTTATATCAATATGATAATATTTGGGGAGAATAGAGGGGGGATGCATATTTTGGCAGGCTGGAAATCCATATTGCCCAAAAATGCATCCCTGTGCTAACTTGGAGAAATAAAGAGTTAAGAGTGAAATAACTTTTTCTACATGATTAGAGTAGTTCTATAAACTACTGGTATGAGTTTTATATCAATATGATAATATTTGGGGAGAATAGAGGGGGGATGCATATTTTGGCAGGCTGGAAATGCATATTGCCCAAAAATGCATCCCTGTGCTAACTTGGAGAAATAAAGAGTTAAGAGTGAAATAACTTTTTCTACATAATCAGAGTAGTTCCATGAACTGCTGGTATAAGTTTTAAATCAATAGGATAATATTTGAGGAAAATAAAGAGGGGATGCATATTTTGGCAGGCTGGAAATCCATATTGCCCAAAAATGCATCCCTGTGCTAACTTGGAGAAATAAAGAGTTAAGAGTGAAATAACTTTTTCTACATGATTAGAGTAGTTCTATAAACTACTGCCATGAGTTTTATATCAATATGATAATATTTGGGGAGAATAGAGGGGGGATGCATATTTTGGCAGGCTGGAAATGCATATTGCCCAAAAATGCATCCCTGTGCTAACTTGGAGAAATAAAGAGTTAAGAGTGAAATAACTTTTTCTACATGATTAGAGTAGTTCTGTAAACTACTGGTATGAGTTTTATATCAATATGATAATATTTGGGGAGAATAGAGGGGGGATGCATATTTTGGCAGGCTGGAAAAGCAAATTGCCCAAAAATGCATCCCTGTGCTAACTTGGAGAATTAAAGAGTGAAGAGTGAAATAACTTTTTCTACATAATCAGAGTAGTTCTAAGAACTACTGGTATGAGTTTTATATCAATAGGACAATATTTGAGGAGAATAAAGAGGGGATGCATATTTTGGCAGGCTGGAAAAGCAAATTGCCAAAAAATGCATCCCTGTGCTAACTTGGGGAAATAAAGAGCTGAAAGGATTTCACCTTTTCTACATAATGATAATTGTTCTCTGAGCTAATGCTATAATTTTTATATCAACAGGATGGATGAAAATATTTTCAGGCTCATAAATGAAAATGCATTCCCTCCTACATTAACAGACTAGAAAGTTAAGCATGATGTAAAATGTTCTGCATAATGGGCCTCTGTTTTGTAATGCTTTTAAGCTGTTATGGTATCAAAAGAAAAAGCAGAGAATTTCAAACCATTTGCGGAGAACGTTTTCAGCAGACACGGACTGAAAAAAAGTTTGACTCATGTGTCAAAGGTGTAAAAACCGTATTTATTTCAAGTAATTTGCGAAATAAAACCCACCATTTTAGGGATTACATGGTTAAGAAACGTGATAATGTTACAAATAAATTTAAATTTCCTCTTCGGTCATATTTCAGTCCGGTTTCTCGTCAATATGCGAGACTTTAGAGCGATGCGCGCTCCTGCGAGAGGGGATGCAATTTTGGGCAGGCATGAGTTTCTGGGCATAACACCGGATCCACTTCTCTGGCTGCAATACGCGCTCCCGACACAGGGGGAATAGATTTTCACAGGGGAACAGAATTTCTCACAAGAACGGCACTGTAATTTACGAGCTCTTTCAGATTAAAAGCTCACATCCGGTTCATGTTTGACCCACTGCAAGTAGATTTCCAGCGGCTTCAAGTTTAAAGTTTATATTTATGCAGTTGCAAAAAGAAATAATGTATCGGAATTTCGGAAATAATTGGGGATATTAAGCAATGCTGAAAAACGCTGTTTCCAATGACTTCTCTCACTTCTGGGTGGCAGAGGGACACTTCTAGAACACAACTAGCAAATGTCACAGATACATTGCGATTGTGGGAGCAACTCTTTAGCAAACACCATCTCTTTAGGGAAACTGACAAACCTATCTTTGAATTTGACTAAACAAGTGTTTAATTAACACTGTATTTTTAACATACAACACCAACACTAGAAATTGTTAAGGAAGATTTCTCTGAATTAGTTAATTTTGGAAAAAGTTTGGCTCTCTCTCTTCCTTTATTATCCCGGGTCCTCTCGCAACGGCCACGTGTAGTCACTCAGAAGAAAACAGCAATGCGTGTTGTCATTACAGAATTGCAGAGTTTAATCCAAAAGAGGACAACACATAAAATTACAACAGAACAGAAAAACAGAGGGATACATTCATTTACCTGACATAAATGGAAAGAAAGAAAGAAAAGCAAAGACGTCTTTGGAGAATTGCAAGAGCAAATCTAATTTTTTACTTCTGTGTAGAAAGTTTTATAGTGAAGACGTATTCTTATCTTTAATTTATTCAAATAAGGTGTATCTTTGCTCATCCAACCAGGAGCTATTTCTGACCCTCTCTCAAGCCAGGAACTCCTGCTGTTTTACGGCTTTTCACAGATGGGTGTGAAAAGCTAGAACTTCTACTGTATTGTTTTCCCACACAGACAATAGGCAATTCAAATGATCCTAGCAAACCATCTGCTGTAACTATAGGTAAAATAAAGGTCGATAGGCCAGAATAAGTTACTGATTTTAAAACCACAATTAGGCTATTTGAATCAAGACATGTTAAGTTTTAAAACTAGCTTATTTTAAATTTATTTTCTTAACAAAATCTAACACTTTTGATTATGCTCTGTAGATTTCGATTCATTCCCTAAAAGATTTATTATGAAAAGTATTTTTTCTTTCGATTTAATATTGACTTTAAATGCTGGTTCTCTAAGATGCAAATACAAGTAAACTGTCTTGCCTAGGAAAAATACTGTATTGTACAATTATTTTGTGGTAGTTTACTGCCAGTTGTCAGTCTTGATTGCGACAACAGAAGAAGACATCAAATTGACGGTATCCTACCATATTTTGTAATACCACTATGTTACTGCTGGAATTCTGCTGTAAATTTACTGTAATTTCTAAGAGTGTACTAAGCAAACACAGAACTCAGACCAAACTCTGAAGAACTCAAAGCAAATAGGAACAATCATCCTGACCATAGCTGAGGGATTTTATGTAAATCCATCTGAAAACTGAGCATTGAGGACTGTGGCTTAGCTCTTTCTTTACCACAACAGACCTGTACTGATCTGCAGCTCTGCTTTGATCAATTCAAGACAGAGCATTGATCTCTGGGATACTTACCCGTTACCCTAACCGCCCATATTTTTCTGTAGCTGCACCAGAAAGAGCTCTTATAGTTGTACAGAGCATCATCCCAATTCGTCTTGTTTTGTTTATGAGGATAAACAACTGGTTACCTGCTGTTTTTCATCTAAGGCTGACTTCTCATTCACACTCTTCTCTCTATCCTGTCTGCAGATGGTGTTAGTGAAGCATCCCTCCCACTACCTGACGTGCCTCAGAGTCAATTTGACACTTGCTCTAAATCTAGCCATAAAATGTATCTGTCTGTTGTGTAGAGAACTCTTAAAACCCATGAGATTACTGCTGTTAGCAATAATTAGGTGGCAGAAAACAAACA